TGAACAGGTAGGTTAATATGTAGACTTTATCTCTCCTTCCCTTCTTCCCTTCCCAACCAAGAGACCCTCCTTTCCAGAACTTTTTCTTTAATTTCTAGCTGCTCTGGCAGTCCTCAGGTCTGTTCTCTGCACTTTGGGGTCTGTAAGTCTGCAGCATTCTGCTTGGTTTCCCGCCTCCCTGCTCTACATGGAGTACAAGGCCTTTGGGGGAAAGCCATTCAAACATAAATCTTACCTAGAGAGTGATTCTCTTTTTTTTTCAAAAGCCCATTTTCATCCAGCTTCTGCCTACCGTTGGTCACCCCCCAGTGCCTTCACATCTTCCTGTCTGCCCCCACTCCCTTGGTGGACAGCTTACAATAATCTGGGGGAGTTTTATTTGATTTAAGCTATTCTGCCATACTAGAAGCAGAATTTTCCTCACAACAGATATTATAAGTGAGAAATGCAACTTTGTTTTGTTTACCACTGATTTTTTTTAAACTACAGGATCATTCCTGTGGCTGTATATTCTAATAATAACTAAGCTACTCATTTGCTCAGAGGCCATCTCTGAGAACTTTCAAGTGAACTGTTAATGGTGTCCCCTCCTTCCATTCCTGTTGCATAATCTTCAGATTTACATTTCTAAAACATGACTCTGAAACTCACACGGTCTAAGCAAGAATCTGCAGTGGCATCCTATGGCCTACTGCATGAAAATCTGAGTGTCTTAGCTGGTCGTTCAGACTTCCACTGTCTGGTCCTCAGCATTCTGGTTATCTGCCTTATGTGAGCATTATAGTAGAAATCACTTACCCCTGAAAGCATGAGTTGTGATGTATTCTGAATTATAACTGTCTTAACACTAGGAGAACACGGTACTTAAATAATACATAATCTGATCAAAAGTTTTTCAAGTCTTCTCAATGCATTCTCTTGTTTTTGTTGTGGTGGTTGTTTTAATATGGATTCAAGAATGAGACACACAATACATGTCGGTACAGTTAAAATCTGTAATATTTACCCCATTAGAAATATAAATGATGAAATCAAAAACCATCATGATGTGTCTGCAGCAGTACGTTACAACTCTATCCCCCGTTTGTGGAAAATGAAACATTGTATCAGGAAGAGAATCATTTTGTAATTGTTACAATTGTTGCAGGAGGAACATGGATTTTCCTTTTTTTCTTTTTTTTGAGATATATTGTCTTTTTTTTTTTTTTTTGAGATATATTGTCTTTTTTAATTGACACCGAATTGCACACATTTATGGGATACATAGTGATACACATAATGTATAGGATTTGTAGGGGTTATTTATCTTTTAAAACTCTTAATAGAACAGTTCTAGCTTTTGAAAGTCTCTGCTTTTGAGTGCCCAGAAAAGAAAATATTCTAGTATGTAGGTAAGACAGTGGCTATGTCTTGTATGCCTACAATCTAAAAGTCTTGTTGATGATAAATTGATAGAAAGTGGAAAAAACCTTAGACTACATCAGAGTAGGGTACCCCAGATGCAAATGTTTTGTGGCCTTGCACACATTGGGGGTTCCCCATAAGTGCTTACTGAATTAAAACAAAATTACCTTTAGTCATTTCTTTGGACTGCAAAGTTTATTCATTACAGTGTGTGTTGTAGATGTGTAGGTTTTGTATTCAGTCAACTACCATGTAAAAGGTACATAATGCTAATGCCAACAGAGATGCTGGCTACTCAAATGTTTACTCAAACAATAGTCCTTGGCTTCTCATTCCCAAAGAGCACTTTATCAGTGTCCTATTAGACAATCAGTAAATTATGTTGCAAATTAATTGTGGCACAGCAGTATTATCAGACTTTCTGTATTCTGCTCCCAAAAAGCGACTTTTTAGGAAGCCACTTTACCGATTCTAGCACTTCTTCTTATGGACAATGGCGATAATAATAATTTTCTCACCTATCTCATAGGATTGTTGTCAAGCTTACATAAGATACTACTGTAACATGGCCTTATAATTTTATTTTGAAAGTGAGAATTCTTAATGATATAATATTAATCGGTTACCATCGTTACTATGGATATTGATTGCCCTTGTGTCATTATGTACACCTACCTGTATTCATTAAGAGCCTTCAATTTTTTTTAAAAAAAAGATATTAGATTATTATAATGAAGTTTCATTTCTTCACTTTGATAAATTTCTGTATTTTTTTTTTTTTTGAGACAGAGTCTCACTTTGTTACCCTTGGTAGAGTGCTGTGGCTTCACAGCTCACAGCAACCTTCAGCTCTTGGGCTTAGGGGATTCTCTTGCCTCAGCCTCCTAAGTAATTGGGACTACAAGCACCCACCACAATGCCCAGCTATTTTTTTGTTGCAGTTTGGCCAGGGCCGGGTTTGAACTCACCACCCTTGGTATATGGGGCCAGCACCCTACTCACTGAGCCACAGGCTCTGCCCAAATTTCTGTATTCTATTACCACTGTTTTATTGTTGTTATTACTAAGATCAACTAGAAATATCTCAGAGAATGTGCTGTAGATTAAATTATTTCACTCACATTAAGCAATGCACATTATTGAGTATTTGCTTTACTTAGTAATTCTTGACCATGTGAAGTGATGGTACTAGACTGAAGGGCATGTCTTGGAGACTGTTCCTTTTGTTACAGTGATCAGTGGGCTCCCTCTCTTCTTTGTCTGCGTATTTTCAGTGACCTGTGACTCACACCCACCTTCTCTCCCCAGTCTCTGTTTACCTACCATAGGACCTCACCCAGTCTTATGGCTTAAAATAACATCTGTAGGCTGACATGACATCTCCACTCCAGCCCTCTCCCTAACTCTGGGGCTGTGGCTCTAACTGCCACCACCTCCACTTGGATGCCTGTCTGCGTCCTCCCTACTCCCCATGACTTAGACTTTATGTCTAAGACTGGAGTAATTCCCCATGAACCCCATGCAGACTTCTGCCATCTTCCCCTTTTCAATTAATGGTAGTTCTGTTTTTTCTGCTTATTTAGCCCAAGAAGCTTGAGTTCCTCCTTAACTCCCTTTTTCCTTCTGTCTGTCAGCAGATCTTAGCAACTCTTCCTTCAGAATGCAAGGAGAGCGTGACCACTTCTCACCAGGTCATTGCTGCTACACTGACTCAGCCACCCTCATCTCTCCGCGAGGTGATGATAATCGCCTCCCACCCCTCATCTCCCTGCTTCTGTCCTTAGTCCACTGCAGTCAGATTTTAGCACACCAGTCAGAGGGATGCTATGAGAAGTAAATCGTTATCTAGTAACCTCTCTGGAGTCTGGCCCCTAGTCTGAGATAGGAAGCCACCAAGTCGTCAATATGACTTCCAAATTCCTACAGGCTCTGGCTCACATCAGTGCGTTATGCTTGTCTTTTCTTACTCTCTGCTCGTTCTTTTCTGCTCCTTCTCTCTGGTATCCCTGCTGTTCCTAAAACCTGCCTGGTATCCCTCCTCGCCCTTGCCCCTACCTCATTTGCTTTACTCTCTGCCTGGTATACTTTCTCCCACTGCCCCCAATACCTGCACAGTTATGCTGAAGGATTTTTAGACTTTATTTAAAATCACTTTCCCTAGGCTGGGCATATGGGTGGATTGCTTGAGCTCAGGAGTTTGAGATGAGCAAAAATGAGACCCTGTCTCTAAAAATAAATAAAAGATAAAATATCATAAAATAAAATAATAAGATGAATAAAGTGAAACTCGCCTTCCCATGATTCCCTCCCTGTTGCTCTAAAATTTCAGAACCCTCTGTCTCCTCCATTGTATTACGCACCCCTTCCCTTCATTTGCTCCCTGGCACTTTGTTACTACCTAACATTTTGCATTGTTTTCTGATCACCTTGTCTATTACCTGTCTTCCCCAGTTGAATGAAAGTTAACAAGATTACCTGCCTGCCTGGTACCTACCTATGGATGACCAGGAGCTATTTCTGAATAAATAACAGAGTTAGGCTACAATTTCCTGGCTATTGCCAAGAACTGGCACTCTCTTAGCCTATGCTGTGTCCCCATCTGAATTATATTTTTAGTTCCAGGTTGGTTCACAGAATGAAGTAGTTAAACATTTCCAGCTGTATCATTTCAAAGTCTTCCTGCTGGTATCACGTGTAAATGGTGATCAGGCATTAAGCAGCTACAGCAGGGTTTTAGATGGTTGCTATTATGATGTCTGCAGAAAATTTGCACCATTGCATGAACCCAGGCAGCTATCAAAAAATTTAAACAATGGAGAAATTTGTCTCTTATTATATAATTATCAATTTGGAAATAAATACAGTAAAGCCTCCATAGTTGGCCACCTCGCTATATTGACCACCTCCTTAAATTGACCTAATATTCATCGACTAGCCATGCACCGCATGTACGTATCAGTACAGTAGGCCTAGTTCCTTATGTTGATCACCTCCATATATTGTCTTTAGAAAAATAATAAACCAAATTGAAGGCTTTTAATGAATACAGGTAGGTATACATAATTACACGAGGGCAATTAATAACCATAGTAATGATGGTAACTGATTAATATTATGTCATGGAGAAGAATTCCCACTTTCAAAATAAAATTTTAAGGCCATGTTGTAGCAGTGTCTTATGCAAACCTTACAACAATTCTGTGACATAAGTAAGAAAATAATTATTGCCACTGCTCATAAGAAGAAGTGCCAGAATCAGTAAAGTGGCTTCCTAAAAGGTAGTCACTTCTTGGAAGCAGAATACAGAAAGCCTGATAATATTGTTGTGCCACAATTAATGTGCCACAGTCTATGACAGACTCTTGGTCAACTTACTGAGGTTCTACTGTATAGTGTAAACTTATGCAATCTGAAAGTTTTAGCAGCATTAAGCTGACCCCTCCTTGTCCATACTATTGTCCATAAGTCAGGTTTCCTGTCTATGTTTTGAAAAAGATGTCATGGCAAGAAAGAGGAAACTTTGTGTTCTGATTATATGTATTAGTATTTTATTCTAGTATGATAGTTTAACAATGGTTTCTTATTATTTTAATCAGGGCAACATAACTATTTATGTGCTGGAAGAAATGATTGCATTATTGATAAGATTCGAAGAAAGAATTGTCCTGCCTGCAGACTTCAGAAGTGTCTTCAAGCTGGAATGAATTTGGGAGGTAAGTTTTGTGTTTTTAGTCTTATAAAAATGTTAGTGTTACTCTAACACCTGAGGATCTGTGCACTCCCCAGATGGAAGGTGAAGCTCACATGGGGCAGTGGCTTCTAAAAATTGAATTGAATGTTTTTATTCTAAAACATTTAAGGAGAAAAATATATCTGAGCTGGAATTTAGAAGGGATGTTGTACGGCTGTCATCCTAGTGAATTTTTCAATCCTGAGTTTGTTAAGTTTCAAGAACTGGGCGCTTAACCAAAACCAAAACAAAAATGAATGAGTTTTTATATAAACCCATAACTAACAGTTTTTATTGTCGTATCTGCTTAGAAATTAGACCTCCATGTGATAACATTACCGAGATAGGAATACATCCCTAACTTTAGGGAGTAAGCATAATGAAGGAAGACCTATACAAAAAAAAAAAATAATAATAAGCGTTGTCTATGGCTCATGGGATAGGGCACCAGCCACATATACCGAGGGTGGTGGGTTCAAACCTGGCCCCGGCCAAACTTCAACAAAAAAATAGCCGGGCATTATAGTCCCAGCTATTTGGGAGGCTGAGGCAAGAGAATCCGCTAAGCCCAGGAGTTGGAGGTTGCTGTGAGCTGTGTGACGCCAGGGCACTCTACCGAGGGTGATAGAGAGAGACTCTGTCTCTACAAAAAAAGAAAAGTTAAACCACTTTAAAATGTTACAGAGGCTCATCTAAGGAGGGAAGAAGTAATATACTAGACCCAAATGCAAAAGTATACAGCATCTAGAGATAGGAAGAACCAGCATCCTAAATGTGTAAGTTTTCCCCTAGTTAATAAACAAATATAACTTAATCCTAAGAAAAATTCCAGTTGATTATTCTAACTTCCTAAAAAAGAGCCAGGAAAATTCTGGGAAAAAATAAAATGAGGAAGTAGCCCTGCCAGATAGGAAAGCATGTTGTACAACTACAGTAATTAGAATCGTCTGTAGTATTTGCTTATTGATTATCAAACATAAAGTCAAGAAATAGATTCAATAATGTGAGAATTTTGCACATAATAAAGCTGGCATTTCAGATCGGTGGGGAAAGGATAAATTATTGAATAAGAAGTATTATGGCAGCTGGATAACCATCTGGAAAACAAGAAAGTTGAACGCCAACTCTTACTATACACCATCCTGGTGCCTCAAAGATTTAAATTTTGAAAAATGACCATAGAGATACTAAAAAAAAAATTAAGAATGAGTTTCTTTTTATACTCTCCAAATAGGAAAGACCTTCCTAAGTCTTTCACATCTGCAAATTCAACCAACCATAGTTTGAAAATACTTGGGGGAAAAAGGTAATAAAAAATAACAATATAGGGTGGTGACACCTGTGGCTCAGTGAGTAGGGCGCCCACCCCATATACTGAAGGTGGTGGGTTCAAACCCAGTCCTGGCCAAACTGCAACAAAAAAATATAGCCGGGCATTGTGGCGGGCACCTGTAGTCCCAACTACTCAGGAAGCTGAGGCAAGAGAATTGCCTACGCCCAGGAGCTAGAGGTTGCTGTGAGCTGTGACACCATAGCACTCTACTGAGGGTGACAGAGTGAGACTCTGTCTTAAAAAAAATTACAACAATAACAAAAAAATGTAGCAACTATTTATACAGCATTTATGTTGTATTAGGTATTATATAATCAAGAGGTGATTTAATGTATATGGGAGGAAGTGCATAAGTTAATATGCAAATAACCATGTTTTTATATAAGGGGCTTGAGAATTTGTGGATTTTGAGTTCCTCAAAAAACTCCTGGAACCAATGCCCTGTGGACAAATTCCAAGGGATGAGTATATGAAATGAACTCAGAAGCTATAAAAGCAAAAGAGTGAGAAAACCAACACAGTTTACAAATCAGTTTTTATTGCCAAGGCAAATAATATGAAACTGGAGGAAATATGTACATCTTAGGGACAAATGGTTAATTTTCCTCATAGATACAAAGCCCTTGCAATTTCATAAGAGGAAAAAAAAAACAACTCATTAGAAAAACAGGTAAAGGATATGAACAGAAAAACCACAGATAAATGAAATACAGTTGGTTCTTAAAAGACATGAAAAGATTCTAAATTTCATAATAATAGAAATGCAAATTAAAATGCAACAATATGTAATTTTTTACTGATTGACAAGGATAAAACATTTTTATGACATTGTTTGATGAGAGTATAGAAATAAAGTCAAACTCATTGGTGAGTTCATGCCTTTTAGGTGGGAGTATAAACTGGTACCTCCCCTATGGAGAGCAATTTAGCTATTTCAATAAAATGTTAAAAGGCATGTACCCTTTGACTCAATTCCACTTTTAGGAATATATCTTATGTATATTTTTGCAATGTAAGAAATGATACATGCATAAAATATTCATTGGAGCATTGTGAAATATCAGAAATACATTAAATATTCATCTGTTCAGGATTAATTAAATAAATTACAGAATACTTCAGACATTAATAAAAATAAAGAGAGCTTTGTGTGCATGACAATGGACCAATCTCCCAAATATTGTTTAGCAAAAATATCAGCTCACTAAATGATATATTTTGTATACTGTTGTATGCAAGTTACATATCTGTTTTAGAGAAAATAACATTGTGTAGAACATTTCTGAATGATATACAGCAGCAGTTCTCAACCTTCCTAATGCCGTGACCCTTTAATACAGTTCCTGTGGGTCACCACCCACAGGTTGAGAACCTCTGATATACAAGATACTGGTGGTTGTTTGAACAGAAAGGATTTGGGTAGCTGGAAAACAAGGCTAGGACTGAGAGCCAGTTGTCACCGTGTGTCCTCTTGTGCTTTTGAATTTTGTGTTGTGCCACAGGCATATATTGTATACACATACTATCTATTGAAAAGAAATAAGATAATTCAAAAACTTAATCCCATGAGACTCCATTCTTAGCTTTGATGAATGAATTTGTTGTCTGGCTGGTCAGGATGAGGGAGTAAACATGGCTGCCTGGAGTACAGAGAAATTCTTAGAAGTCAAGAGGAGGGTGAGTGTGGCCTGGCAAGCCTGCTATGTGGGGACGTGTGTTAAATAACAGGAGGACAGGTCCACACTAGCGAAGAGGACGCTAAGGAACCAGACTGCATGGGGTGTGTATGGGGGGAATCTGTGTTCTGCTACTCACTGACCTCGAACCTGATCAGGTCACCCTTCTCTGTGCCCCAATTTCTTTACCTTCACCTTGCGTTGATCAGCATTACTGCCTCTGGGGCTGTGGTGAGCACAGAGTGAGTGTAGGGCAAAAGGAGTTCAGAGGAAGCACGTTGGTTGGTGGTGGTAAAGCTCATTGTAGCTTCCATGGTGCATTCACACGTTATCTCATTTCATACCTACTGAGTCCCCAGGAAAGGCATATGGCCCCATGTTTTGGTGGTGGCGGCCTCTGGTGCCCAGAGAACTTAAATACCTTGCCCAGGCACTTGATCCCAGGCCTCTGTGCTCCTGGTCTGGGGTTCCTGTACAGCACGCTGCCCCTTTGTTCTGCTGTCCAAATCATCACAGACGTGGCTCAGAAGACCTCTTCCTGTAGCATGAGAGAAAGGATCAGGAAACACTGTTAATAATTTAATATTGGTTGTAATGTGAACTCAGTCTATTTCGTAAAATCGTTTGAATTTTTAAAAAAGTGCATGCTAGGAAAATATGTTTTAAAGTATCTGTATATAATTTTTATGTTTATATAGTATATAACATGTAAATATTACTATAAACATGTGTATCAGATACAGTGATATTGTACTCTACAATACATAGTTACTATAAAATAATAAGAAAATACTGTACTTAGAATTCTTATCTCAAAGAATGTTTTAAGGATTGACCAAGGTTAAACTAACCTTTAGAACTGGGTTTCTCAGCCTCTGCAGAGTTGACATTTGATCCCGATGGCTCTTTGTGGTAGAGGACTACCTCCCACAAGACAGAATGCTGATCAGCGTCCCTGCTAGATGTCAGCAACAAGCTACTCTCCCCTAGTTGTGACAACTAACAGTGTCCCCAAACTTTGCTGAATGTGCCCGGGGGCATTGAGACCCATTGACTTAGCAAAAATAGTAAATAATAACAAAAACTAAGGGTTAGGTATCATTTTCTGCTGGATAATACATTCCATCAAAGGAAGAATTTTTGTTTGTTTTTTTCCATTGCTTTATCCCCAATGACTAGAACAGTGCTTGGTACAAAGTAGGTGTTTACTGGCTATTTGTTGAATACATGTATCAACAGCTGACATTTTTGAGGGCTTGCTGTGTTTTTAGCACTCTGCTAAGCCTAGATATGTGTCATCCCGTGTAAGCCTCATAAGCAACAGTATGAGATACGTACTCTTAATACGTCCATTGTACAAGTGAGTCAATGGGGGCAAAGGAAGGTTTAAAAGCTGGTTTACGGATGCAAAGCCAGAACCCCGGTCTCTGTTCCTGGTCTCAAATGCCATGCCAGCATCGCTCTGCTGTACAGAGCAGGTCCAGGGTCGGAGCCCCAGAGGGGCTCAGCTGCTCCATCAAGGGCAGCCATGGTACACGGGGGTTTACTCCCACCACCTACAATTACCTGTAAGTAAGATTTGGCATAGGACACGATACAAAATTCACATCATTTATTATTGGCTTCTGTATATACAGGATAGATTTTGTGGGTCTGAGTTAAAAATAAAAAAAAGTTACTAGAGAGAGCTCACTTCAAATCTTGAGGTCATTGAAAGTAGGGAGTCGGAAACAGGCAGAATGAAAATGGGTGCTTATGAGAGTGGTATTTTCTTTAGGCTCAGGTTATAATTTAACAACTTATGGCTCATGAATTAAATAATTAACTGTTGCTAGTTGTTCAGTTGTGGTAATGTGCATTGTAACACTGTCCCTTTATAATTTCCTTCCAAGCCTTGTTTTTCAATTCAATCTGGGAACAAGAAAGGCAACCTTTAACATAAAGCAAGTCCTAAAATTAAAAATTGGAATTAAA